CATCACTTAGGACTTCTCATAAATATTTTTAAAGAGGAATTTAGAGATGTCTCTTTAACTGAACAATCATTGTCAGTCACATCAAGATTAGGAAGAGAGGATGAAGCATTCAAAACATCATCTCGAGTGCCATAATTTTAGAACTCAAACTCTAAACACCAGAAAATGGATTATACGGTTTCAAATAACAAAAACTGCAATCATTAACAATTCATTCTACTCATCCTTGATGCCTTAAATTTGGTCTTCCAATCTTATCATTCTTCCGACAAATGTTTTAAACCAATGAAAATAAATGTTTTAATTTCGTCAAGAAGTTAGTCTAAGCATGAAATTTCTAATATCCTGGAAAACTTTGAGTACAAAGGGAGCAAACATTGCAACAAAGATGCTGCTTCCCAAGTTTTTAGTAGAAACAAACAGGAGGCCAATGGTGGATACCGTGCAATGATGATGCGCCCGGATGCCAAGGACGCTTTAGCCTAAGAGGAAACAGTGATGGATACATGGGAAAGGTGGTAAGAGGCTCAATCTCCCATAAAGAAGCCCTTGCCTGTCTCTCCCCAGCGGTTGATTCATCCCAACCAACCTACATTAAGAATATTTGGATTTTTCAATGTTAAATGTAATGTCTAGAAAACGTTTTTGGCGTCACATTTTTGTTAGGTTTTCATGCGTTTTCTGAACAGGGTATCAATAACTATGATGGCTAATGACCTCAGCATAAAAAGAATATCAAAAGATATAGTCAAATAAAGATGGGGGACTAAATCATCAGATTCCTGCGCATCCTGATTTTTTCATATACCAAAGATACTTTATATACAAAAAATATAGTCATATGAACTACCTTCACAGACCGCCAATGAGAGTTTGGCCAACGAACAGAATCCAGATCACCGATGCCAGTTATCGTACCCATGTACCTGGAAAATACCACGTCATTGTCAGAATACAAGTTGTTTATAGGAGTGTGACGTAATGATAATTTTTTCCCACTTCTCACTCTCAGTGAAGAAAGAAATACAAAATTGCACTTCAAGTTGACTTTACCTTCGAACACTTGACTCTTCTGTCTCAAAGAGCATACGAAAGCGCATTCCGACTGAAATACGAGTGTGAAAAACCGCTTTAATGTACTTGGGAAGTGGTAGCACAAACTCAGATGAGCTAGACCTGAACATGAAGAGAATGTCAGTGGACGATTCTTCAGATAATGAGAGGAAGAAGAAGTACAACGGGTTTAACCTTGGATGATAAAAAACTGTAAAACAGCTATTAGTCGCAGCAGCATGTGCAGCAGCAGCGAGGAGTCCAATATGCATGCTATCACTAGACAACATAGATGATGGTACAATAGTCTGTGGTCTAGTAGCATGACGAATCCCCAAAAGGAGTTGGTTTCTTTCGTTCCTGAAAACAGGAAATAAGGTTAATATGGCAATCAATAATCATCATAACTACATGAGAGTGCAGTGGAGGAGGAAAACCTGATGAAAATGACAGAATCTCCAGTTACAAGTCGTTTGGCACTGACAAAGACGCTCCACCCAGTAGTAAGCAGATGCCGTTTGGGCTGTCCTGCAAAATACACCAGTAAAATGTAAGAAATTGGCAAAGAACGAACAACAAAAGGGACTTCAATAGCCAATATGTTATATAACTACAAGAACGATAAACACTATTTATCAAACCTAGCCAAGCAAGGGCACTTGGAGGAGAAGACCACTGCGACTGAATATATGCACTTAACAGAAATCACATAAACAATCTGAAAATTAATTTTGTTTTGTGAAAACATCATTGGTCTCTTGTGAGTATCAGCTTGTTCGTGACCTCCAAAAACAATCTTCTAAACGTAGCTCATAAAGCTCCAATAATTCGCCTATGATGGGCATTATATGTGGGAAAAAGATTATGGTTCTAATATTCTTTTAAAAACTTACTTTACAGCCAAATAACATTATCACAGCACCAAGTATCAAAATCAACCAGACAACGCAACTATATGTAATTAAAAGGATAAGTCTCAGTGACGAAAGGTGAAACCTACCCCGAAAGATATGCCTGAACTTCCATTCAGTATCATGGAGATCCCTTGCAATCAATTCTTGGGCTGGTGGCTGCTGCGAGTAATCCTGCAACAGAGAATGAGGCAAGATATCTCAGGGAGTAGATATTTCACAGTATTAGTTATAGCAACTATGCTAAAAAAAAGTACCTACCAAGGGAGGAAAAACTTTCTCAGCAGCCCGTCTAGGAACAGAAAACCCTCCATGTGTACTGGTATCACTAGCCGTCAGCGTTTTGCAGAAGTAATTGCTAGGTTGCTTGCTCGGGATTCCCAATTCAATCGGTACAAACGTATCCTTCTGCTCCTCCTAAAATCAAAAGCAAATACTAAACAATCAATAACAGCTAAAAAATCATATCATTTACCAAAAGTATTCTAGGAACAATGTATGTTACCTGTGTCAATGGCTGAAGTACCATTTGAGCATATACCTCATCCGTCTCCATGTCTGACTGAAAAAAGGTAAAAACAAAAACCCATACTTACAACACAAGATCCCAAAATCACTTTGAGTTATGGAGAGAAAGGGACAGGGAACTAACTACCCACATGCATTGTAACATTATGGAGCTGACATATTAGTTGTGGAGGTAGGCTTGGGTAATTGGGTATGTGACCCTCAACTTCCTTATTAGTGGTGGCAGCAACCTAAAAATAGAAAAAAGGGTCCTTAGCTTTGGACTTTGTTGGCAAGTTCATCATAAATGCAAGAATCTAAAGAGGAAAAGCATGATTAAGGAAATGGAAAAAGACCTGTTCGCTGTGACCTTGAGGAAAGTAGACAACACGGCTTCCAGATGAAGGAAGAGAGACCAGTGGTCCAGCACAAGCATGCCATAGCTCGGAATTTAAACATTTCTTTTCCCCTGCAACAAGAACCAAGAATATGACTGACTCCAGCTCTAAGAAGGCTCAAGAATATATAT